TGCTGGGAACGGGTCTCCAGGAAGGAGGGCTCCAAGGGCGCGCTCGACGACAAGCCAGCAGACAAAAACACTAAGGTGGGGGACAGTGGCCGACGCCGTGCCGCTTCGGAGACACCTGCGTTCAGTGCGGCCAGGCTCACCCCTGGCACGGCGATCGCTGAGCGCGTGAGGAAGCCCCTGCTCAGGGGCCGGCCAGGCAGAGGGGCCTGGGGCGCTGCGACGAATGATCAGCGCTCTGTGAAAGTTGCCATGCCTCCAGTCAGCCTTTCTGTGACTTCTCCCTGGGCCTCTTGGGATGATGTCCCAAAAGATGCTACGCTCGTGGCTGCAAAGGGCCCTTTCTTTCTGGAGATCTTTGCAGGCACTGGTGGCGTCGCCGCGGCAATGAAGGAACTGGGGGTTCCCTGCCTTTTGCGCATTGACATTGTGGTCAAAGGCGAGGTCAGCTCCGCTCGGGATGTTCAAGAGGAGGAATTTTGGACCTTCATCAAGGAACTGATACGCTCTGGCGCGATTCGGTTTCTTCACCTGCAGGGACTCCCTGCTCAACCTTCAGCATGGCCAGAGCCGTGAAGATGAAGCATGGACCACGCCCTCTTAGGTCGCTCGAATATCCGCTCGGCTTGCCATTGCTTGCAGCAGCCGAGAGGCGGCAGGCAGAATTGGGCAACACGCTTCTTGACAAGTCCGTGGAGGCGGCGCTCGCAGCTCTTGCAGAAGGAGGGCATTTCTCTCTCGAGAATCCCGAGAGAAGCCCTTTAAAATATGCTGGCGGCGATCCAGTACCTCAAGGTCATGTATCCAACGTTCGTTGTCTCTTTCGATCAATGTTGTTTTGGTTCCTTGCACCTTAAGCCCACCACCCTGCTGACCTCGCAAGCCCTCTTGCAGGTCTTAAGCGCTCGCTGTAAAGGTGGACGCAAGCACGTCCCGCTCAAGGGCAAGGTCTGGAACAAGAAGGATCGCAAGTGGGTCTTTCGCGCCAAGGCGGCTCAGGTCTATCCCAATCAGCTGTGTGAAGCGATCGCCAAGCAGGTCTCTTGTGTTTTCTTTCAATTGCCCACAATTCGCTCAGTCGTTGTTCCTTCTTCGATCCCAAGACCGCAAACGTCCGCTCGGGCTGCGCAAAGCCTGGATGGAGCGTCGACAAAATCGTTCAGCCATGCTTGCTCAAGCAGCAGGCTGTCAGCTCAAGCGTGGTTCCGTCAAGCCCTTGCTGGATGTGGAGTGTGAACCAGGTGACGCGATACGCTGGGCTCTCAGCGTGCCTCACCCCTTCTCCATTCCGCTCAAGCTGCAGGAGAACCTTCTGCGATCGATCGATAAAGTATGCAAAGATCCCGATACACTTTGCCAATGGCGCCTCCGTCAGCTTCAACAGTGGCACGATCGAGCAGTGCAGCTCCTGCCAGCGACGGACGCAGTGCTGGCCCAGATCGAGGACAAGCAGCTTCGACGACTGCTTCGAGGAGTACCGGACGGTCAGCCCGCCCAGCTCGGGCTCACGACTCACATTGAGCTCTACAAAGAAATGCTCCGCGCTGCGCACTGTCCGGATGGCTCCATCGTCGAGGACATGCCCCACGGCTTTTGCGTCGTTGGCAAGATCAGACCTTCGGGGCGTTGGCCGCCGTATGAGAAAGCTCAAGACGTTCACCCTGTTCATGAAGCTCTTGACCGGGCCTGGGAAATTCGCAGGAAGATCATCCACCGAGTCTCTGCAGTTCAGGTGTCTGACAATCTCAAGTCCATCTGGGATGCGACGATCGAGGATGCGGTGGAAGGCTCATGCGTAGGTCCGCTGTGCTCAGAAAAGGAGGTTTGAGACCTTATTCAAGCAGAGGACTGGATTCCCACTCAGCGCTTCGAGGTGGTTCAAAAGAACAAGGTCAGGGGCTGTGATAGCGCCACGACCAACCTGATCAACAAGATCACGGAGATCTCCGAGAAGTTGCAGCTCCCGTCGACCGACTACAACGTGGCGGTGATCAGGGAGCTTCGATCGAGGCTCTCTAAATCCTCGCATCCGGCTCTCGAAGGATGGGTTCCGGATGAGAAGAAGGCTTATCGCCAGATTCCAATCCGCCCTTCTCAGAGGAAGTTCAGCATCATCTGCTTGAAAGATCCTTCGGACGGCAAGCCCAAGTTCTTCGTTATGGTGGGCCCTTCGTTCGGATTGGTGTCGGCCGTCTACAACTACAATCCCCGCTCGGCTGCCATTAACGACGTTCTGGTGAATCTCTTGTTCATGGTGGCCTTCAACTTCTACGACGACAAGTACGGCTTTGAGCCCAGCCGGTCTTGTGCGCTCGCGCACGATGTAGCTCAGAAGGTTCATTGGTGGCTCGGGGCAGCTTTTGACTCAAAGAAGCTCCAGAGGTCCACAAAGCCAGACGTGCTCGGCGTGACCTACAACCTGGAAGAGTTCAAGTTGGAAATCCAACGCAAGAGGAAGATCGAGCTCAAAGAAACGATCGAGGACGTTCTGAAGGAGGAGTCGCTCGACCCTGGTTCGGCAGGGAAGCTGAGAGGCAAGCTCAGGTTTGGCGCTTCACAGCTGTGGGGAAAGGTCGGAAGAGCCTTCCTGCGATCGCTTTCAGAGCGCCAGTACTTGAAGCATGCTCGAGACGAGGGCTTCGCGCTAAACCCTGCTTTGCTGCTCTCCCTGTTTCAGTGGCTTAAGCTCGTCCAAGATGGTCCGCCGAGGCCCATTGAGGAGCAGAAGCTTAAGAAGAGCGACGCTGTTGTGTTCACCGACGGCTTCACCCCGGACGCTCGCAAGAACGAGAAAGGCTTTGACCGGATCGGGGGTGTCCTCTTCGACCGTAGCCAGAGCTAGCCTTTTCAGTTCACGGCGGTGGTCCCCGAGCGAGTCAAGACCTTCTGGCTGGTCAGGAAGACCCAGATTGTTCCGATCGAGATGCTGGCACCGATCGTGGCGCTGTCCACCTTTGCGCCCATGATCGAGGGCAAGGACCTTCTTCTCTTCATTGACTCGGAGGCCGTCGAGGGAGCCCTGATCAAAGGTTACTCGGCGCGTGAGGATCTCTCTGAGCTCGTGTCTGTGTTCTGGGATCTAGCTCTAGAACTGCGAGTGAATGTGTATATTGATCGTGTGTCGACAGATTCAAACCCCGCTGCTTGGCCATCAAGAAATGATCTTGAAACGGGCAGATCTGCCGGATGAGCGTTGCTCGAACCTGTCTGGCCAAGTATTGTGAAGGGCCTGGGACGGTAGCTTTGATGCTGACACCATCTGTGCTCGTTCAGTGCCGTATCCGTTCGGAGCTTGTTTGCCTTTACGGGCGCTCGCTCTGACGCGGCTCGGATGCTGAAAAATTTTTGTTATACGGTCGCCGGAACATCAACCTGTTCAGGATGACTGTGTGTCAAGCTTATCTGTTCATGGATCTGCTCGACCCCATGCCTTGAGCAGAAAAAGGAAGGTGCGTTCGCAAGCATGTTATCACATGCGTCTTTAGCCCTGTGAGTGGTCCTCCTAATACGGTTAGGTTGGTCTGGTTTAGGAGGGTCACTCAGTAGGCTGTGCGTTCGCACCTGACACACATGTCTGCTCATGTTGTTTACAGTTGATCAACTATGTTTGTACGTTGCCATTTTGGCGAAAAAGAGCTGTTCAGCTAGCCCACGTGACTGACAGCTCAGAAAAAGCCCGCCCTCCGCAGCCCTGATCATGGCGTTTAGCTTTTCAGCTTTCGACGTAAACCAGATCGCCATGGGGAGCACCGCTTTCGGTGATGTGGACACGCTCTTTCGCCCATGTGTTGATTGTGGGCTCAAAACAGGTTGCTTCTGCGACGGCAAGTTCGGACCTTGCATCGCCGCTCCTCGTGTACCGGCTGAGATTTGGGCTGATGGCCAATGCACGCCGCTGTGCACGCGATGCGATTGCACAAAGGGGTTCTGTCATTTCTGTCGCGGTGAGCACTCCTGCACTCCACCGACAAGAGAATGATTGAGCCATGTTCATGGCGGGAAGCACATTTTGGGACGGTAGCTTTGATGCTGACACCATCCGTGCTCGTTCAGTGCCGTATCCGTTCGGAGCTTGTTTTGCCTTTACGGGCGCTCGCTCTGACGCGGCTCGGATGCTGAAAAATTTTTGTTATACGGTCGCCAGAACATCAACCTGTTCAGGATGACTGTGTGTCAAGCTTATCTGTTCATGGATCTGCTCGACCCCATGCCTTGAGCAGAAAAAGGAAGGTGCGTTCGCAAACATGTTATCACATGCGTTTTTAGCCCTGTGAGTGTCTCTAGTCCCTGGGCCGAGCCATGCCGCAATGCATCCTTGGCCTCTGAAAGCCGGTCGCGTGAATTGTTTAAAGCCTGTAAACTCAGAAAGGGGCCTCCAGATAGTTGCTGGTGCCACAGTGGCATTGCCCTTGCCAAAACTCTTTGGCCCGAGCCTGAGGCACCCATGCATTCGCAGCCACCGCCACGGACGGAGAGCCGGAGGCTACGATTCAGAATGGGCTTTTGACCTTTCAGAGGCAGCAAAAGGACTCTGGCTGTGATGCAAGGTTAAGGTTCAAAGGCATTGGCAAAATTCCAATCTTCAATCTTCAACTTGTGTCAGCTCTGCAACAGTAGCAGGAGTCAGTAGCATCACTTGACTGGCCGCCATATCTTGCTGCGCTACTGAACCGGTGCAGTAACGCTAGTCACCCGTTAGGTACAGTGCTGAGGAGCTGCGAGGTTTAGTAACAAGGACCATGCCCCAAATCAGAAGTGATGCAGTGCTGAGCGTGTGTCAGAAGAAGCGTGGAAGGTTGCGCCAGTTGTCAGTAATATGTAATACTTGCGCAATACCTGCGCCTGTTTGCCGGCAGACCTCCCTCTCAGTTCGCAAGCAGACATGCCGCGCTGTGGCCTGAGTGGCCAGAGGGTTTCAAGAAAGCTTGGAGCAGCGCTCAATTGACAGGGGACACATTAAGCTGTTGCTCGTACGAATTGACCAGAAGGCCGTCCGCGCCGTGAGCAACTTCCCTGTGTTACATTGGTTATGGCTCTTTAAGCATTATTGCCGAAGTTGCGTCTGTGTCAGCTGCTTGGGGTTCCTACCTACCCATGGGTTGCAAATACTGGTGGCTGGTTTCCAGTCTATTCATTACATGTGTGAGTTAACTTGATATAGCTTGATGAATCGTGACTGTCATTACCCCCGCTAGATGCTCCAAGCCCTATTCATGTCCTTTCGATTTGCTCTTCACTCGCTCTAAAGTTCAGCGTCGTCACCCCCCAAACCCCTTTACGACATCAAGGCCATCAGGGGAGTTGTAAGGCCGTGCATATTCAGGTCTTGTGCCAGCCAACAAGACTGACCCAATTTTATTTGCCGTGTGCAACTTCTTCATACTTGCGTTCACATGTGTCTAGAACACTGTCAAATGGTCACACAGAATAGCAGGTAGTGAAATGCAGCTTCAAGCCACACCTGCAAAGTGCTCAAGCCCAGCGACGCACCCAGGCCAATCCAGCAAGGCACCAGCCAAGGTGCTGTTCGCTTTGAAAGGCCCGCTGTTAAGCCCTTTGCTCTCAGGCTTGGCGATGCTGACAGATAATCGGTAGCTTTTTCGTGACCTGGGGTAGTTTGATAATGCTGCATAGGCACTTACAGCACAACCCAGCATGCCCGGACGGCCTGTTTGGAGGAAGGAAGATGCCACTAGAGCCATGAATCAGCTGACGCTGGGCGAGCACTTCTGGAGATTTAAGGAGGTTTCGTGCTGCAGGGGCCTGCAAGTAGCGTGATTGGGTTTCAGGTAGATCGACTGACCTGACAGCTTGACAGCTTTGCTGCTCGTCCAAAGATGCTCGCACCGCAAGCTCTTCTATGCCAAGGAATGGCTCTATACTGGGATCTTCACAAATCTCTGCGGCCACCTCAAAAACCGTCTGCTCAACATGCTCAACAGCAAGCAGACGATTGTGAAGAGCCCTACCAGAACATGCAATCAGCTCCTACCGTCCTGGGTTTGAGAGGACGGCTTGCAACACAAGCGCATCGATCTTGTACGAACGTGAAGTGCAGTCTTTCGTATGCTCCTGCTTCTTCACCCCTATACTGTAGTTGTTGCAGAGACCTTGGTCCCCAGACTCAGGGTCATCAGCCCTGAAAAAAAGACTGCAGTCGTGTGCTGAACTTGCATTGTTTTTGGAAAAGCTTCCAAGATTAGTAGTAGTAGTAAGATGATTTCACAAGGGTATTGTGGTAGGCTCCCTCGCTCGTGGTAGAAACGAGCACGACTATGCATTGCACTGTCCTGTGTTACCAGTCAACGGTTTCCCTGCGGGTCCTGCCACTTAATGCGCACGCCACGATGTAGTGACATTGACGTTAGTCATTGTTCTGTTGTGATCATGGACTAGAAGGTCTGTATCTGCCAGCACTTGAAGCATATATTTTTCAAGCAAGCCTCTGTAAGCATGACAGTCTCTTAGATGCGCCCCTCCATTGTTGGAGCGCTCGCCTCTTTGCCCTGTAAGGTCCAGCGAGACTCGACGTCGATGGACGGGCTTGCATTTTCTTTAACCGCAAGGGAATGCCTACTTTGCCACTCCATGGTGGTCACCCGCCAGACATTGAATTTAGACTCCTCTACGTAGCTGTGGACCTTTGTGTGCATTTCAAAGCCGAGCCCCCAAATCACAGCTCCCATGCTCTTGGCCATTGGTAACTCATCTTTGGTGGCTTCGGCTGCGAGGATGGCAGTCGCGTAGTGGTAACTGGCTTGCCAGCTGCGCTGTCGTGGCAGGCACGTCACCTTTGCCCCAAAACTTCCAGCCTCTAAATCCTTACCGAGTGGCGGGACCTGAAGAGCGAGCCCTCGGTGGGAAAAGACATGGAACCTCCAATGTGTGTTGTCGGTATCAGAGCCACAACCTGAAGCGGCAAGTCAACCAGTCTGAGCAGGTGCTGAAGGATCATTTCGCTGCTATTGGTCCTGTGGCATACTGCAAGGCCAGCAAGTGGTGTTGGATGCAGCGTGAAGCATTGCAGTAGCCCTTGTCATGGTTCGCCTACACGATGCTCCCTTGTGCGATCCTCGGCCTCCTTCTCTGGACAGGTTGCGCCCGCTCAGGCTGGCCTGCAGTGTTGACGTCGGGAGGGCATGGGAGGTGTGCAGCTAGCGAAGCTGCAGCATGCTGCCCCAGCAACCACGACCCTGACATCCTTCAATGCCAAAATGTTGCAATCCAGGTTTCGTACGCTCTGGGCTGAGAGCCCCTGACATCACGCCACTACGCAAGCATGACCTCGTCAGGCTGAAGAGCCGCCGATGCGACCTGCCTACCAGGACCTTTGCACGTGTTGATGATCGTTTTGGCATGCCCAAATTGCGCTGTTTCTGGTTCCACTCCCCCAACAAGATGGTAACCATAACCGTAAGAAGAAACACCCACTTGGGCATTTCTGGATCAGGGGCAGTTCCTTTGAAAGAGCTGATACCCGCCAGCATAGATGCGTTAGTTAGACAGTTAGTAGTTGCGCTTTGCTGCCTTAGTTGTTGTCATGAACTGCTTGAATTATCGGAGAAGGGCTGTTTGGACACCAGTTGGGCACTTCATACCTTTAACCTTGGAAGATCTCGCACATCACGCTACGAAAGGTCGGGCTAAGAAACATCCATACAGCACAAGTTGACGCTGGCACATTATTTTAGGTGAAGCTTGCAAACGAGCCGTTTTATTCCACCAGCCGAAGCAAAGTATGTCTCACTGTAAGCCTGAAGCTGACCTGATGCCCTTTTTGGGTGACCGTGTCTAGTTCATGGCTTCTGATTTAAGGGCTCCAGTACTAACAGATACTACAGTGCGGCACTGTCAAAGAATATTTGTTAAGATGCGATGCGGGAGCAAGAAAATCAAGGAGGGAACCGAGAATCGTGCGCAACACAAACCAGGAACATATGATGCAAAGATTGGAACATCACAGATTGCAAAGCAGATAGCCCTGTAAATGGCAAACACTCACAACACGCGCTCAATCTCGGGGCCTATTGTGTAGGCCGCGCTCGTAGACAGACAACCCTACGAGCAACTGGCCAGAATGGACCTCCAGCTCTGTGCCACCGCAGGCTCGGGCGCCTGCTGCTCCAGTGATCAAAGCGCTGGGCGAGGTGCAGAGTCTTTTTGAAATGACACGGAAAGTGATGTCTATGAGGATATAGAAGCCCTAAATTAGCCCCAATATAGAACGGAGAATCAGCTGGAAAGGAGAATGGAAACTGTAATGGAAACTGAAAGAAACAAATGCAAAACAGCCAGAGCCTTTGAGCTTGATTTTGGATAAGATGCCACTGCGCAGTCCAATATTTGACTGCTGGTTTTCATGCTCCGCTTTCCCAAGCTAGCCTGAGATCCTGCATCCCAAAGCCAAATGCACATTGCTGGGCCGCGACAACTGAGCCGGCTTCCTGGAGAACTAACGCAGCAAAGAAAACGCAACATCTTTAGTGAACAAAACATGATTTTCCAGCTTGTTCTTTTGTAGCCCTGTCTCTGGGCTATCCTGGGAGGTTCGCTATGATACGGCAGAAGCAGCAGAGGATGCCACGTGTCTGCAAGGAAAACCTTTCAAGCTAGACAGGTTGGCTGCTCTAGAAGGGAATATGTAGAGATCGTTCTTCTGGGATGGCGGGTCCAAACGGCAGAGTATCTTCTGTGCCCAAGACCTCCCTCGCCTCTAAGAACTTCAACTTTCCCAGAATCACTGATGTGGGAGTAAGGCCTGACCCTCCCTAGGCCCTAGTAGGGGTCCCATAATACGTAGAATCTAAACATCCTAAACCCATCTTGAGAAATCCTTAAGTATGCGATCCAAATCCTCTGGGAGCCCAGGCCAAGCTCCGCTACACTGGCATGGAGGTTCATGGCCAGATCATCACGGTCAAGGCCAGGCCAGTACACTGTGGTTACATGGAGGTTATTAACGGGGATACTGGAAAAGAACATGGAAACTACTATACTGGGTTACGTAGGGTTTAGGGTGTAGTTTAGGCAGTAAGCCATGGTTGTCCTACAGTTTGAGATGTCAAAGTCGGCCTCTAGCTGGAGCCTTTTGGGTGGCCTTCTCCTTCAGAGCCAAGATCCAGACAGAAACACGGCTTCCATGTGCCAGCTTCCTTGGAGCTACAAAGAATCGGTCACAGGCAGACCTAACCTCGCGCGATGGTACTCGGGTGCTTGTTATGGGCTGGCCGCGCGCTTAGGCAAGGAATGGAGATGGATCTGAAGAGTTTGGGGTTGATGCAAGCAAGAAGCAGCCCTTGCTAGCCAGCTTGGATCAGTTGTAGCTCCACGTGTAGCGCTGAGGGGAGCCCGACAAGTCTCGCTTTACTCACCGTGCTTTGAAGTCGCATCAGAGACCCAGTCCATATCTTGCACAATCCGAGGCCTGCCTCAGCGACATGGCAGGAGCTGAAGCAGCTCCTCTCTGCCCTGGCCTGGGTCGG